GAATATTGATCAAATCCCTGAATATTGCCCATTATCAGCAGCTAAATAAGTACCTTCTTTTATTGATCAAATCCAAAACGGCTTTGGCCAGAGAAGCAAATGAACAATAAAATTTTGTGAATAAGTATTTATTAATCAGCTTTGGCCAGAATAATAAATACAAACCACACTTTATCAATTTGTTTAAAACTCCTTTTATTAATTCAATCAAAACAGCTTTGGCCAGATTTGAATTGAATTAATAAAATTTTGTGATCAAATAAAAGTCAATCAGCTTTGGCCAGAATGACAATTATTTGTCACACTTAATTATAATATTTATTTGTAGCGGAAATAAACTCATAATGCATAAAACAATAATAACTTTAAGTAATAAATATAATGTAACTATCATAAAATAAATAAATGAAAGATAATTTTATCACATAACAAAGTCACTTATTATTCTTATTATCATTAATTAAAACATAATAAAATATCTTTAATGTTTAAACACAATGATCATAATCATAATTCTTTAAAAGGAAAAAATTAATTGTAATATTATCTTAGCCCAATCTTTAATTAGGCCCATTACCATGCAGCCCGTTACTATGCAGCCACACAAAATTGAACTGGGCCACTTTCTCGAGCCAGGCCGCACTCGGCCTGGCCCGTCATTGCCGCGCCGCCTTCCGCCTGGGCTCCAGGCCCATCAACCTGGGCCTGGGCCGGCGTTTGCCGCCTCCCGCACGGCCTCGTCAGCCCGCGTCGGGAGCGAGCCGATCCGAGCCGTCCATCTCATCGGACGGCCGGGATCGCTCCCGCGCGGGACAAAACCGGCGCGCGGCCGCCCCCCGCGAAAACCCTAGCCCCATTCTCTCCTCCCCTCTTTCTCTCACGCCCGCGGCGACGGTGAGCGAGACGACGGCGAAGCGGCGCACGACGGGGTGGAGATGGCGCCGCCGAGCCTTGCTCGCCGGGGCTGCGTGCCGCCATAGCTGGCGCGCATCCCCGTCGAGCGTTGCTCGACGGTGCCCTAAGCACCCGCCGGTCGCTCGCGCGAGGAAGATCCGCGGCGGCGACGGCGAGACGAGGCGGCGACGGCTACCTCAGCGAAGCGGCGTCAGCGAGACGAGCACGCAAAGAGGAGGAGCCGGGCCAGCACGGCGGGTCGCGAGGCCGCTCGGGGACCAAGTCCTCGGGCGCGCGCTCGCCTCTTATTGCGTCGGTGGCGACACGGAGGTCGCCGCCGGCCACCATGCCCTTAGGTAAGCCCGCCGCGCTCCTTTTCCCCATGATTTTAGGGTTAGGGTTCCATGATTTGGGGAATTTTTGGGGTCTTACTTCAGCTAGGGTTTCGGTTCTTAGGGATTTGTCTGAGATTTGCATGAAATTTTCCTTCCCCTTCTTCTAATTTCTTCAAGCCGAAACCCTAGAAGGCCTAATTCCATTTCTTATGCTTTGGGATTGCATGATTTTGGCTCAATTCAACTTTAACAGAGGGATTTGGGCATGAAAACGAAGAACAACTTGAACATAAACACTTATTGAGTTCCAATTTGAGGCCAAACCTGGCTCTGATACCATTGTTGGATTGTTTTGGATCGGTTTGGCACAAAGTGGAACTACAAATTGAAATGGGATTGAGTCATACCTTGATCTCCAGAGGTTCCCATTCTCTGTCTTTGTTCTTCTCTCTTTCTCTCTTGTTTGGAAGCACAGAGAGAGATGTGTTTCGGTTCTTCCCCGTGTTCTCAGTGGGTTTTGCTTGATCGGGTAGCAATCGAATCTTAGGGTTTGCACTTAAGTATCGATTTCTATTTATAGCCACTGCACACAGGGGGAACCGACACTAGGATATGGCGGTTATCCCCCGATCAGGGATGTTCATGAGAGATCGATCACTGTAGCGATCGCCCTAAACAAAATATCTCTTTGCCGACTTTAGGTTTAGCCGCAAGATCATATTTTGCGTTCACACTGACACATATTACATGATGGGATTCAGTTGCAGGAGCAGGAGCTGAAGGTTCTTCTTTGAATTTAATCTTCTGCTCCATTTCCATCCGATGTTCTGCTCCTTTCACAGCTCACAGACTCTATTCTGCTATCCTATCCGTTGATTTTGGAACGGAAGCTTAATTAGCTTTCTGTTACACGAACTTGCATACTTCTTTTATGCGGTTGTGATTAAATTCTGAGCAGAAGATTTTCTTCCATTATCTTTCAATAGGCAGAATATGTACTTCTGTTAGCTTGCAATAGGCAGAATATGTACTGCTATTAAAAACTGGGTATAGAGAAAAATTAGGTGGTTGTTCTGCCAACAATTTTTTAACGGCGATGATGTTCTGCCAATTTCTTTAGCTGACGTTCTGCCAGTTTTTTAAATTGACCAGCTAACATATATTTTCTGCCGGCCAGAAGCAGTAGATTTTCTTGTTGAGATGCAATTTTTTTTTCCTGGGATTTCTTTCAATTGATGTTCTGCTATTTTATTTTGAGGTATATTACAAATTTTCTGATCATTTCACTACTGGCTACATGTTCTCCTTGGACACATGTTCGCAACCATTACTGCTGCGCCGAGGTCTTTCGCTGCTTCTGAAATTCATGTTGTAAGCTGCACGAATATCATGAAGTGAACACCAAGCGCATCTATCTATTCCTAGGATTTCTCATGGGAAGAGGATGACATCCATCCAAATGAATGTCATATTTCTGGAGAGAGTGATTCATCTCTTTACTCCGGGCAGCAGTATCCATGCAATGCACAAAATCATTCCTGACCAAAGAACGCACCAAATAGTCAGAACCAAACAAACAAACAAACAAGAGAAAAATTTTCAACAGAACATAAACAAAAAATAATCTCCGATATGTACCAATCTGCGGGCAGGTTTCTGCTGCATGACACCATTAGCTGAAGTGGTTCCGACTTCTGCCTCCGCCGGATTGTGCTGCTTGCTAGAACTCACAGGCGACGATGCGCGTACGGCTACCACCGTCTTCTGCCGCTCGACATCACGCGTTGACGTCTTCTGGCACCGCAGAAGGCGACGGAACAGAACTCGCCGACGATGTTTTGCCCTTTCCACCGGAGGGTTTCTGCTCCATCAAATATCTGCAGAAATGATCTGCTTGCTCACAACTCCAAAGGATGCTTCTGCTCACTCCTCTTCTACCCTACATCACCGTAAACTTATATGGAGTCTCCGTAGCAACCTCCACACAAACTACTCTCCTGGTCGCACGGCCTTGCATGCGTGCGGATCAACAAGCCATGCATGCACAACATTCAAATGCCTCAGCATGCAGAACATATAGCGCAGTGATCCAATTTTTCAAGAAAAGTGGATTTGTGGATATTTTCTCTCCAACCGTTAGTGGGTTGAGACCCGAAACCTTCATGTGAGGTGGGGACAGGTACACACACACATATATATATAGTAAATTTGTTTGGTGCTCCATGGTGCCCGGGCACCATTGTTGAAATTGAGTATATACCCAATTCAAATGAGTATGAAACTTTTTCAATTACCTAGGTATTAACATTAACTACTTTACTAACTAGTTTAAAGCAAGTTTGAACTGAATTTGAACTTGTTTTTGTTAGATTTTGATTCTAGGTATATAGCATCCATACATATAATTAGTTAGGTATGTAATCATGGATTGTGAAATAAAGTTAAATTTGAGTTGTTTTGTTGATAAGTATAGGTATGAATCAAATTATTATAACTAGGTATATACTCACAATTTGAAAATTTTGAAAAATTTGAGTGATTTTGTGCATTAGATACCATGGTGCCCGGGCACCATGGTGCCCCATATGAGTGTCCTATATATATATATATACATATATATACATATATATATACATATATATATATATATACATATATATACATATATATATACATATATATACATATATATATACATATATATACATATATACATATATATATACATATATATACATATATATATATATAGGACGACTCTTTTGTACTCCCAGGTGTATGTACTCCCTCTTCTTAGTGGATATCCATTAGTTGATAATAAATAATTAAATTAAATGGGAAAATAAATTACCGTTCACTTTTGTATTTTTCGAATTCTGGATGCATGCAGTTAGGCCGGTACATACGGACATACGTTAGGTTCAAATTTTGATATAGTTGAGGTAGCGGGCAAGTATATACTTGTTTTTCCTCGTGTACTGTTTAAAAAGTAGTATATGTCACTGATGAGATTCATAAATTAACAGTGTCGTCACTGAGTATATACTGAGAATTCAGAATGAACTGTATCAGCACTTTTTCACCGTCAAAAAATTAAGCAATGCGTAGCAGTATATATACTAGTTTACGTAGTAGTAGTTGCCGTATATACTGGAGTACCTTTTAAATAGTTGTAGCAGTACATATATACAACTTTGTTTGGAGGTAGTACAGTATATGTATACTATTTTTTATGTAGGAATGCATACTTTTTATTATTTAGTATCAGTATATAACCTTCTTTACTTTAACGTTAGTATACTGATCTATTGAAATGAGTATGTACTGCTCTTTTCTAAGTATCCAGTACTCGATCGGTTAATTAGGTGTACGTACTGTTTTTATCATGTATCCAGTATATACTAACTCAGTCGGTTAAGAAGTATGTACTGTCTTTTTTAGTTTCCAGTATATACTAAATCAATCGGTTAATGAGAAATATGTTGTGTCTTTTTTAGTTTCCAGTATATACTAAATCAATCGGTTAATGAGAAGTATGTACTGTCTTTTTTAGTTAATGAGTATGTACTGTTTTTTAAAAGTATCCAGCATATACTGAAATCCTCATTGAAGCAGTATATACTATTTTTTAATGGCACCTAGTATGCAGTATTGTAGTACATCGATCGTCGATAGAAGGTATGTATGGATGCACCTTTTTATTAGATTATTAGCAAAATAATTAATGAAGTACATAATACTTCACCGAGTGGTACTTATTAAATAATTAAGAAAATAGTATTTATATCACTTGGTTTCACCGAATGGTTTATATAATGAGCCATAAAATGAAGTATACTAGATGAAATTGATAGTATACATATTCCCCCGCAAAAAAAAAGATAGTATATATATTCAAAACAAAAGCAGTATGTTATGATACTACTTTTATCATTGATGGAAAAAGGAGTATAGTTGTTTGAAAAAAGGAGGAGGAAAAAGTAGTATCTATCCCAGAAAATAGTGCATCGTCGACTTCATCGCCATCAGCATGGCGTGGCACCGATAGCAGCTGGCACCGTCGCCTGGAAACGACCAAGGGACGAAGCACGCTGACTAGTGCAACGGATTGGCTACTCGGCTGCGCTTGGATGAAGAAACGCCGCGATCATCTCTGCTTTGATCTGATACGTGGGTGGATCTGTTAGCACGCCGCCATGCCGTGCCGTCGCCAATCGATTTAAAAAACGGCCGCAGCAGCCGAGGGAGCGCGAGTGATCTGTAAGCAATAGAAATAGATTAATGGAAGAACTAAACAGAAGCTTCGATCTCCATGCATAAACAAGAAGCAAAGAACAGGAAACGGAAGGACATGGCAGAATAGAATGTTACGGTGCTCATCTTCCTGGCTTGATGAGTTCGATTACTCCGTTGCACGCCCGGCGGAAGGCACCACTATCGCGGCGCGCGGACGGCGTCGGTACACCGAGGCACAGCCTAGAGTCAGAGCAGTGCAGCCGTCCGGCGAGGGTGACTAGCGATCGACGGGATGAAAGAGACACCGCGCCGACTGGCAGCTGGGAACGCGGTAGATCGAACTACCGCCGCCGACGAACTTGCTTTTTATTAATGAAACAGATCAGTATTGTTGTGCCTTCCGATTAGGCCGGGATAATTCAGAATTAATAGAATTTCTTTTCAAAAAGAAAAGGATCAAACGGGTTTGATACAAAC